AATAAATAAAATCTTTAAAAAAAAAAAGATTGTCCATCTTTTATGGACAATGGACACCTAGGAGACCAAGAATTACTACAATGTGTTTTAATCTGTATAGTTAAAATTTTCCTTTATATTCTGAATAATCTCACAGATTTTTGTTTTGCTATTATTCATACGTAGAGGTAGTTGTGATTAATCATATTTTCAAAGTAAATTTATATTTTTGTCATTAAATTAAGTACATTTTCAATTGATGAATACTAAGAACATAAGCTGTATCTTGTGGTAGCCTAAAAATACTTAGACATAAAAAGAGTTCCTCCTATTGGATCAATTAGAAGATAGTTCTGCCATTGTTTGCTCACTTTGAGAAGTATTAAAATGGTTTAAGTTTTGCAATGTGCTCTAACTTTTCATGAAACATTTTAATATAATGTCTCCATGAAAATTATTTTCCTGTAGAAAAACCTGGAAAAATTGGTATTGGAATTTTCTTTCAAGACAGCAAACATCTGACAAACAAAATTTATTTTAATTGGAAATAATAAATTACATTTTAAAAAGAGAGTTTGTGAGGGAGATAAGATATTAATATTGTGATTTAATAATATATATACATATTTATATATAATTATTTGTATATGTTTTATATATTATATATAATTATATATCTAGTCATTATCTAAACAACTTTTATTTTTTCCCCTGTATTCCAAATATATCTTACATTTAGAGCAGACAAAAATGTGTAGGCATTACATTTTAGTTATCTACTACTGCCATGATTGTATTTTGCCAAAAGATTACATTAATGAACAGTACATGATGTTAATAACCTGGCTGAGCAGAGTTTTATAACTGATGTGTAGCAGTATGATCTGTTCTATTACATGACTTGCTCCGCATACATAATGTCTGAAATTCATGAATATAAATTAAAAATAAAGAGAATTCTAAAATAAAATATGTTCTTAATATTTAGTCAACTTTTATGGCAATTACCCTGTGGCTGTCACTTCACAGAGTGCATTTTTATGTCAGGGGTAATATATTTTGTGTGGTGTGGTAATATAGTTGTATTTTTAGTGTTATGTTGATAAGTGTTGTAATCTGGTTAAGAACGTTTCACCTATCTGTTTTAATGCTTTCAGGTTTTTTCTGTTATATCCATGACATATTATAGTCCAGTCTGATAACTTGATATTTTGTTAACATTTTTTTTAAGTTTGTGTGTGTATGTTTGTTTTGTTAACCCTCTTATGGTATTTTACAATTGATATAATCTATAATCAATTATGATGTCTCAATACAATTATCTCCCAGCTACTAGTTTAAAATCTATTTATCCAGGAAAGCCTGTCTAAATTAATAGAGCTATTGTTTTCAATATTTATTATTCTACCAAATGAGGAACTGCTTCTCATGAAAAGAAACTCACATTAACATGTGTGTGCGTACATGTGTGTGAGGTGTGTGTGTGTGTGTGTTATGGTGTACTTTGTAAATTTGAAATCTTTCCAATTATGAGACATATAGGCACCTCATAAATGATTCACATGGTACCCAGAGGTACAGTTAAAGAGGGCAAACTGCTGTCATGAACATGTTTGTATGAAGCTCTATAAATAATAAATTAGTTCTCTCTTGAAGAGTCAGGATACAGTGCCTATGTCTAATAAATGGTCAACATGAAATTATGTAATTCTTTATTAAGAAAATGTGTCCTCTAGAAAGATAATATGTATCTGTTTGCTATTTGTAAAGATTGCTTCTGAAGAATAACAATGAAAATATAGTGAAATGTTTAAAATAAATTTTCTACTATATATTTTTGGAAAATAAATAAGGAGCCTCCATTAATTTCTAGTTCAGTACATTGTCCTTATGCATGTATGCTGGTCAGATACTACCACAAATTGTGCTAAAAATATGCTATGAAAGGAAACACAAGGAAGTAATTTTATGATTAATCTTCCATGTAGCAGACTTCTTATAATGTGATAAGCTTATAAGGTATTTGAGTGTCGGCTTCATGATGTACTTCGTCATATGAAGATGTATATCAATTTGGTGGTAGTTGTAAAGTGTTGTATTTTTTTAACCAATTTTAAATTATTTTTCTTAGTGCAGTATGAAAATTGAAAGTACTTAAGAAAACTAAAACTTCTGATTAATACCAGTGAATTGAACAAAGAGTTCTATTATGTCTGCAAATCACTAAAATGACCATATTGGAATTTTTATAGGCATTTCCCACAAGAACAAAATAAAGGAGAGAATAGCAATATGTATGATGAGATCTAGTAGGAAGACAGATGAATGGGAACTGGTTTACTTGAGTCAAAAGCTCTGAGTCTAAGATGAGAAAGAAAAGAAAGAAAGAAAGAAAGAGAGAAAGAAAGAAAGAAGAAAGAAAGAAAGAAAGAAAGAAAGATTACCAGATTTTGGCCCATTGTGTTTTCATTTTCATTTGTCTCCATGTTTTTTTTTTTTTAATTTCTTCTTTGATTTTTTTGGTTGACCCATTCATTGGTTAGTAGCATGTTATTTGGCCTCTTTATATTTATATTCTTTCCAGATGTTAAAATAATTTAATAGGTTTCCAAACTTTTTAGTAAATTCCTCCTTATATTTTCAATCTGGCATCAAAACTACACTCAGAGATAGTATTTAGCGATTATCTTGTATATCTAAACCATTTGTTAAAATGTTGAATTTAGGGCACCTGGGTGGCTCAGTTGGTTAAGCGACTGCCTTCGGCTCAGGTCATGATCCTGGAGTCCTGGGATCGAGTCCCACATCGGGCTTCCTGCTCAGCAGGGAGTCTGCTTCTCCCTCTGACCCTCTTCCCTCTAGTGCTCTCTATCTCTCATTCTCTCTCTCTCAAATAAATAAAATCTTTAGAAAAAAAATAAAATGTTGAATTTAATACTTCTACATTGGTTGGTAAATAGTCACTGCTCCAAGTCCTCATATGCTCCCTTTCCCTTTCTCAGGACTTCTGGACTTTCTTGTAATCCAAAAATTAGAGGACATAGCCTAGCATAATAAGGAATATCCACAACTCTGTTCTAATTTTATGGTTTAGTGCCTGTGTCTACTCAAAATTTTAATGCCAAACACACATTTTGCATAACATGTAAGACCAAATCTTCATAGTTATTCAATTTTTCTCCAGCTAAGATTTCCTGGCAAGACTCATTATATCTTTTCCCCTCCTCATTTCTGAGAAGTATTGTTACAGAGTTTTGTATTATGATTACATTAAATATATAGATAAATTTAGAGACATTGAACATCTTTACAAGATTGCAAATTTGTAGTTAACATGATTCCTCCACAGAGACAAAATAGACTTATAAGTTCTTTTGCATAAGTTCTACACATTTCTAAAGAAGTTCATGTTTCTAGATTTTATGTTTAAACATTTTGGATAGGAATTTTTTTCTAAATTATGCTTACTAAGTGCTATTAAAATTTAAGAAATATTTCTTTTTTCACATTTATTGGTACACCTGACCACCTTACTGAAATCTCAGAATTTTCCAGTGGTTTTTATTTCCTTATGCTTAGTAAATTCAAATAATTTTATTGATGAATAATGATCATTTTTATTCCTTCTTTCCTATATTTTTATTCCTTGTGTATGCATGATACACATCAGAGTTTTCATTAAATATTTAAGGTTTCCTCCTGGGCAAATGTAGAATTACACTCCCTTACTCCTTCAAATTGGATATGGCTAAGTGGGTTGCTGTGAACCACATTTATGCATGTCATTTCCAAGTGGAATCTTTAATAGCCAGGTAATAATTGACCATCTTTCCTACTCTCAGACCAGTAACCAAGAAATCAGAGATGAGTGTTACATCAGCCTGGGAACTTGGGTAATTATGTCAAATGTTCAAAAAAATAATTAGGTCTGTAGCATAAGATATTTACTCTTTTTAAAAAACATGAACTTTTTGTTTTCCTCTTCATATCTATGGGTAACGACAAGGACTCTAGAATAGGTAGAAATATTTCATTGTAGGTGTCCCATCTAAACAACATTATATAATCATACCCTGCATCTTATATTCAGTATACATCCTGTTTAGAAGAAATTTTATATAATATACTAAATAAGGTTAGTATCAATCCCTACTTTCAGCTCAAAGAGAATTTTCCCTTTTATAATTTTTCTGTGAAGAACTTTATTTAAAGTATTCCATTCAGAAAATAAATGGTCATGTCAATTTTTGCATATGTAAATGTACATATATACCTACATATATCCTTCTATTTGAGAAAACAATATTGGTTAAAATTTGGCAAAGTTAAATCAAACAAAATGTATCATCATATACATGTTTTATATATATTTTATATACATACACACCACACATACATACTTTTCTATTGTATAGTGAGCTCCTTGAGAAGAGAGGATGGTTACTTATTTTTTTATTTTTCTTTATATTATCACATGCCTAGAATAATATCTAGTTCATCTTGACTGAAGTTCGAACTATAAATGCTATTATGTCCTATAGTTTCTGTACTCTTGATGTAGTCAAATAATTTGTGTACTTACAATATGAAAGGTTGTAAAACTTGCCTTTCTTTGTTTAAAAAAGAAAAAAAAACATTTAATTTTCTTTTCCGTTATAATAAAATACTGATATAATCAGACCTTTAAATGACTGTGTGTGTGTGTGTGTGTGTGTGTGTGTATAGTTCTCTGCTTATAGTTTAATAAGTACAATTATTATTTCATGAGGCACCATTAACTTTTATGGTAGTTTTTCTACACATATAAAGTCACTGCCCATTTGATGCCCTGGATAGTCTTATTTTAAGATTGGTATAAATAATTGCATGCACAGGGCTCTAGTTATCTTTTTAAAGAGCATATTTTAATTGAGTTTGAATGCCTAGGCAAGGAGACAATAATTAGGATGCCAAACATAAAATCAATCATCCTGAGCCTCCCCGAACTCGGGGCTGCCGGTCCCTTGCTGCCGGACATCCCAGGTATATCAGCCATGATAAAGACACCTCAATTAAATACGTCAGTCACCAGCACCCCAACCACCCCCAGCTCTTCAGCATTGTCCACCAGGCCTGTGTGCGGAGCCTGAGCTGTGAGGTCTGCCCTGGCTGGGAAGGCCCTATCTTCTTTGGGGACGAGCAGCATGGTTTCGTGTTCAGCCACACTTTCTTCATCAAAGACAACCTGGTCAGGGGCTTCCAGCGCTGGTACAGCATCATCGCCATCATGATGGACTGGATTTACCTCATCAACTCCTGGCCCTTCCTGCTTGGGAAGATCCGAGGGATCATTGACGAACTGCAGGGCAAGGGACTCAAGCTTCTACTCAAGCTGTGAGGGCAGAAACCGTTCTGTTTGGGACGAGGAGACCAGTGGCACTTTCTGTGGCCTGCATCAGGACAGCAGAATGGGACAGCGTCTTCCGGAGTATTTGAGACAGAGCAGTTTGGCTGCCCACAGCATGCCCAGAGGATGAACACGGCCTTCACACCCTTCCTGCATCAACGCAACGGCAATGCAGCTCGTTCATTGACATCCTTGACGAGCGATGACAACTTGTGGGCATGCCTTCACACCTCCTTTGCTTGGGTCCTGAAGGTGTGTGGCAGCCAGCTGACTGAGAAGCTCCTGGAGGGTGTGCCCACCGAGGACACCTTGGTCCAGATGGAGAAGCTTGCAGACTTGAAAGAAGAATCCAAAAGCTGGGACAACTCCGAAGAGGAGGAGAAAGCCCCTGTCTTGCCAGACAGTGCAGAGGGGCGGGATCTGACCAAGTGCCCCACAGATTCTTCCTTGCTCTCAGACTGTGGAAACTGGCAGCCCCGAAAGTTGTCTGTCTTTAAGTCCCTTTGGCACATGAGGCAGGTCCTGGTTGCCCCATCCTTTTGCATGTTGGCCTGGCATGTTCTCATGGGGAACCAAGTGATCTGGAAAAGTAGAGATGCAGACCTTGTCCAGTCAGTTGTTGAAGTTCTTCAGATGATGCTGCCAGTGGGCTGTGTCTGCATCATCCCTTACAGCAACCAGTATGAGGAGGCCTACCGCTGCAACTTCCTGGGGCTCAGCCCACACGTGCAGATCCCCTCCCACGTGCTGGCCTCAGAATTTGCTGTCGTCGTGGAGGCCCATTCAGCCCCTCGCTCCAGCCTCCACCCAGCCGGGTGGATGACCAGTCCCTCAGCAAGTACGAGTTTGTCGTGACCAGCGGAAGTCCTGTAGCTGCGGACCGAGTTGGCCCCACCATCCTGAATAAGATGGAAGCAGCTTTGACCAACCAGAATCTGTCTGTGGGTGTGGTGGACCAGTGCCTCGTCTGCCTTAAGGAAGAGTGGATGAACAAAGTGAAGGTCCTTTTCAAATTCACCAAGGTGGACAGTCGGCCCAAAGAGGACACGCAGAAGCTCCTGAGTATCCTCAGAGCATCTGAAGAGGGCAATGTCAAGCTGCTCAAGTTCTGGATGACGGGCCTGAGCAAAACCTACAAGTCCCACCTCATGTCCACAGTCCGCAGCCCCACAGCCTCAGAGCCTCGTAATTGACGCCACTGTGTGAACGTGAGCCCGGGCTCGCCCTCGCAGAAGTGATGACCATCCCCGCCGCTGAACTCAAGGATGGCTCTCTGACTGCAGTCACACCACTTTTGTTTCTGAACTGCCGGCATGGAGTTCTTTCCTAGCAAGCAGTGGAAACCCTCGGGGCTGAACCTTGCCCTCCGTGTGGGATTTGGACCTGGTATAGTTTTCGGCACCATTCCACAAACTGTTTGAATTGCTCTAGCCCTAAAGAGGGCTGTGTGAGACTTGGGACAGTAGGTCCCCTGTGTTTGAGCACCCTGTGAGAGAAGACTAAGGAGGACATGCATCTTATGTCTCTCAAGGATTTAGACTCAAAATTTATAGGAAAAAATGTCAGGCCAGTCCCAACTTGGGTATTTTGGCCGCAGTAACAAACCTCTCAAGGTTCATGTTTGAACCTTTCTATTCTGACATTTAAGACTTTTCCAGGTTTTATATATGTTTATATATGTTGTATGTTTTGCTACGGTTGTGAATTTTCAGGACATGTGCTGATCCTTAGTCATCGTTAGTAATCTGGTTTTGAGCTCTGGGAATGGCTTTTGGGGTGGAATAGATGTTTCCACATTTTTGGGGCCTTTGGGATTCATGTTCTAGAATCATGTGACTATGAAGTCTTCTGGCCATGCTCTCCTATGATTGCTTTGACATTTGCCTGTAGCTTGAGGACAGGCCCCTGATCTTTTTTTTACACAAAGATGATACTTTGCTGAAATGTCGGATGGAGCCATTTGACTTGCCTAACTCACTGGATGTGGAGTTGAGAAACCCACCATGGTTTTATTCCATGTCACTTTGCCCTTTATTGCTTCTTTAAACATTTAGATTTGGCTACAGGTAACAATTTTCAGAGTATGGTGATTTAAGATAGTTTCATCATCCCAGCATGCACTTTTAATAAGGATTCATGGCTTGGAGGGATTTTTCCAGCAGATTTGCTGATTTGTTTATAGTTTTTTTGGTGTGTTTGCTTAATTTATATTTAACATGGAAACTAAGTTTATATGACTAGGTATCTATCACGCAGGAACATTGAAACACAATAAAGATGTATTTTTATAAAAAAAAATCAATCATCCTTATCCAAGACTCTTCATTTATGCTAATCTTTAAGACTGGAGTCATTAACAAATATATATCTTGAGCATACACACCTAAAGGCAATGGATTTATCCCAAATCAAGTGATCTTACCTTTTATTAAAATTTTCATTTATAAAACATTGTATAAAAGCTGAGGATTTGCCTGTGGACTTAACTGTTCTACCTCCAACCTAACTTTGTTCTACCTATTCATCTTTAGAAACAAAATGTTCTTTACGAAAGTTATCAGTTTGACATAGAAAGTAAATTTCTTCCCACTCCGTGAAGTATGATTAATGGGTGTAGTAAATAATTTTTTAAATGTGATATTTCAAATACAAGAATGAAATAACAGAAATGAGATATAAGGTAACAATAGATGCAATATGGTGATAAGTATAATTTGTATGGCAAAATAGCTAAATATCCAAATCACAGACACTCTAAAAAATGTAGTTAAATTATGAATAAAAGTAATGTTTATTCATTTATATAAATATATCATATCTAGAAGACATCACTTTGATCTGGAAGGGACAAGAAATGAATATTAAGATGGAGAATGTACTCTTTCGTAGATGCCTTGTGGCTTATTATGGTCTCATCAAAAACAACTGGAGACTCTCGATATTTTCAGTTTAGAGGTCTTTGGGAGGGATATTAGTTATCATGCTATTTTTCCTATCTTCCTTTTAATTCTTAAAATTCCAAAATTATATTTCCACCTGTTCCAGGATTCTCAGCTAAAGATGCTCATGGACTGCAAGTCACTAATAATATAGCTCAGTTCTCTATAATTCCCAGACATCATGTGTCACATTTTTAATTCTAAATTCCCAGGAAGGTAAATATGAATGTCCAACCTAAACCAATCAATTGTAACTAGGAGACCAAGTCCAAAATCGGGGATATGAAAGGAAGCCGTTATTGTTAATAGGGCAGGCTTTTCCAGCAAATATGTGTTACACCCTTTTAACACATATTCGTGACTCCTATTCCGACTCTCTCTGCAATCTCACCTTGTATCATTGTTTCCATAACCCACTATCCTGCAGGTATTCTGGTTTCCCAGTTTCTTGTCCATAGTAAACTATTTGTTCTGCTTTGGACCTTTCATTTGCTGTTTCTTTTTTTTCTTTTTTTAATTTAAATTCAAGTTAGTTTACATATAGTGTAGTATTGGTTTCAGGAGTAGAATTTAGTGATTCATCGCTTACGTATAACACCCAGTGCTCATCACAAGTACCCTCCTTAATGCTCATCACCCATTTAACCCATCTCCTACTCACCTCCCCTCCATCAACCCTTGCCCACAGCAACTTCTTACTAGAAAGGTCTCCAGGGGCAAGGGAAACAAAAACAAAAATGAACTATATTGGGAACTCATCAAGATATAAAGCTTCTACAGAACGAAGGAAAGAATTGACAAAACTAAAAGGCAACTGACAGAATAGGAGAATATATTTGCAAATGACATATTGGATAAAGGGCTACTATCCAGAGCTTATAAAGAACTCATCAAAATCAACACCCAGAAAATAAAAATCCAGTTAAGAAATGGGCAAAAGAAATGAGTGGACATTTCTCCAAAGAAGACATACAAATGGCCAACAGACACATGAAAAAATGCTCAACATCACTCATCATCAGGGAAATACAAATCAAAACCACAATTAGATAACACCTCCCACCTCTCAGAATAACTAAAATTAACAACACAGGAAACAACAAATGTTGGCAAGGATGCAGAGAAAGGGGAACCCTCTTACACTGTTGGTGGGAATGCAAATTGGTGCAGCCACTCAAAAACAGTATGGAGGCTCCTCAAAAAGTTAAAAATAAAAATACCCTACCACTCTGCAATTGTACTACTAGATATTTATCCAAAGGATACAAAAATGTTGATTCTAAGGAGCACACGCACCCCAATGTTTATAGCAGCAATGTCCACAATAGCCAAATTATGGAAAGAGCCTAAATGTCTATTGACTGATGATAGATAAAGAAGAGGTGGCATATATACACAATAGAATATTACTCAGCCATCAAAAAGAATGAAATCTTGCCATTTGCACAATGTGGGTAGTACTAGATTGTATGATGCTAAGCAAATAAATCAGTCAGAGAAAGACAAATACCATATGATTTCACTCATATGTGGTATTTAAGAAACAAGACTGATGAACATAGGGGAAGGGAAGGAAAAATAATATAAGATAAATACCGAGAGGGAGGCAAGTGATAAGAGACTCTTAACTATAGAGATCATTTGCTGTTTCCTCCAGCTGGAATGTGTCTCTATACATTTTGCAGAATTTAATCTGGACAGGGTTTCTGCTTGCATGCTTACCTTTCACAGGTAGATCACCCTGTGGAAATTAGCTTCCTCACTATGTGTATTCTATCTCATCACCCTTTAACCATCCTGCAAATAATTAATCACAAACTGTAGTTTTCTACTTTTTTGTTTTCTTATTCTTTCTTATTGCCATCAGAATTTAAATCCCATGAAGACAGAATTTTTTAATCCTTATTACTGCTATGTCTCCAGTGACTAGTTCAGTCAATACATTTGCAAATGAATAAATTTAAATAATTTTATAGTGAAGAGTGAGCTTGAATTTTTGATTCCTGAATTTCTCCCTCCTATTTTACAATTTTAAAACATAGAGCATTATCAACTATGTTAAATAATTAGATATAAAGGTGAATAAGTTATATTTTTTTTAGTTTTTATTTTAATTCCAGTTAGTTCACATAGTGTTATATTAGTTTCAGGTTTACAATATAGTGATTCAACAGTTCCATACATCACCCTACGCTCATCATGACAAGTGTACTCCTTAATCCCCATCCCTTATTTAATTCATCTCACCACCTCCCTCTCCTGGCATATAAGTTACTGACGCAAAAAAATGAGAAAATCACACATACTATTAGCATTATCAGGAGTTAATGTTCAAAATTCTTGTACACCAAAAGAGTGTGGTACAATGCCTGAGTGTATGTGGTCTAGAAACAAACTCAGTTTAAATTCTAACTTGATACTGTTTCTTTATGTCACTTAATATCTCCATGACTCCATTTTTGTATCATGAAGAGAGAATAATACCTATAAAGTAGCTTTTTATGGAAATTAAGTAAATAAATGTGTAAAATGCTTACAACACTAAAAGACGTTGTCCATAAATGTGTTCTCTTCTTAAGACTGGAATTTTCACGATTCATTTGTTTACTTATCTGAAAATGAACTGTACAGAGAACTAAGCAGCTTCTTAGTAAATTGCTCAGAAAAGTAGCAATCCAATGAGATGATGTTATATATACCCTTACAATGTCAGTTCCCTTAGCAAATATAAACACAATATAAATTTAATTTAAATTTGAGCCACATTTATTAACCTAAGTCACTCATTATAATTACAATGGTGCCTTTATTTTATAAATTATGGATTTTTTTCTGCAATATAATTTTAATTTACCTTTTCATTGACTTACCAATAAACTTCCCTTCAACTTGAACACAAGGAAAAAAAAAATGACTGTTTTTTTAACAGTATGTGATTATCTCGTTTATTTATGCCCAGAGCCAAAAGGATGAATTTGCTGTATAAACTGCATGACACATGCTAGACCATTACTGGCAATAATTGTCATTCTGCAGCAAAAGTCTCACTTTCATTTTTGCCCAAGGCAGAATATGTCTCTTTTTTTTATATTTAGAACAGAAAGGATGGAAAGAGATTGTCAGCCTAACCATTTGAATCCTGGGGTAAATATGAACTATGTCTTGGAATCCAATGTCTCTCTCTCTCTTCTTAATGTAAGGTTTTGCCTAAATTTTATTTTCCTTATAAAGTGAAGAAAAAAGTTTATCATAATAGTGGACGTACTGGAGGGTGCCTGGGTGGCTCAGTTGGTTAAGCAACTGCCTTCAGCTCAGGTCATGATCCTGGAGTCCCAGGATCGAGTCCCGCATCGGGCTCCCTGCTCAGCAGGGAGTCTGCTTCTCCCTCT